CAAATATAGATATTTGTGTACCTGGTTACTCTATTGAACGAAGTGACAGAGATGACGGAAACAATGGAGGCGGGGTCGCGACATTGATTAAAGATGGTATTACCTATAACGATTCCATGATGGAGTAGTTGGCAACCCCGACTCCACAACGGAGTTCGTAGGCACACTCTTTTACTTGCCCGGCAAAACCCTTAAAGTCGTCAACCTGTACATCCCGCCACGCCACAAAGGTAACTTCATTCCCCACGTACTCAAGACTGATGCAAACACCATCATCGTAGGCGATTTCAGCTGCCATCACCCTTTGTGGGACCCTTACATCGACCAGTGTGCCACCGGAACAGAAATTGATGATTGGGCCCTCGACAATGATATGATTGCCCTCAATGACGGCTGCGGAACAAGAATCGACCCGAGCAGTATGCTCAAATCAGTCCCTGATATTTCCTTCTGTCATGTTTTACAGGTAGCTTATGTTTCTTGGCAAACCAGTGACACCCTGGTCTCTGACCACAAAGCCATCGAAATCAAACTCTGTAGACACTCTGCCCCCACCTGTAGGAGCAAAGCCGAATGGTCCTTCAAGAAGGCTGACTGGTCGTTGTTCAATGCCCTCATGGAAACAGAGACTTCGGCAAATGACATGCCTAACATGGCGGAAGCCGCAAAATTAAACACGTGCCTTACTGAGGCCATTTTAAAAGCAGCCGAACAAAGTATCCCTAAGGGCGCTCGTAAACTTCCTAAACCCTTCTGGAATGAAGAAGCGGACAAACTGATATAAGAAAAAGTGCAATTAAGGAAAAAAACCATGGCAACCAAAACATGAGAAGACATTGAAAACTGCCAGGAGGCGTCTAAAAGAACCGCATCCCGCCTAAATGAGATGAAGCGCGACTGTTGGTGCAACTTTACCTCAGAGATGTCCCTCTCGATTGACCCTCAATAAGTCTTCCGGGTCATAAATGCCATTTCAGGCAAGAAAACCCCCTCCACCGGCAGTGCACTCACAGTGAAACAATAAAACCCTAAAAGGAGATAGAAGCAAGGCTGAAGCCTTTTGCCGTAAATACGCCTCAGTCAGCCGCCTAAAACTCGACAAGGCAGACAAATACAGGCACTACCAGCTTAATAAAAAGCTTAAACTCCTCCCTATTGACCAGAACACAGGCTATGATTCTCTCCTCACCATGGCTGAACTGACAGTTTGTATAGGAAAGCTGAAAAATGGCAAATCTCCTGGGCTTGATGGTGTAACCAATGAGATGATCAAACACCTCAGACCCATCGCAACCTCTGTCTTGCTCCGTCTTTTCAACCTATTATGGGAAATGGCCATTGTCCCAAACAGCTGGCGACGTGCCAAAATCATACCGATACCCAAGAAGGATACCCAAGAAGAATAAGCCCGCAGGAAAGATTGGGTCCTACCGCCCCATCAGTCTCACTAGCTGCCTTGCTAAGCTGATGGAGACCCTCGTCAAGAACCGCCTGATGTACTTTCTGGAGAGCAACAACTTGCTGATCAACAACCAATCAAGCTTCCGCAAGTTACGATCTACTGAAGACCAAGTCCTGTGCCTAACACAACATATCTCCGATGGATTCCAGGCTCGTCCCAAAATGAAACGAACTGTGCTAGCCCTCATGGACTTCTCGCGTGCCTTCGACAAGGTATGGTGCACGAGGTTAATGGAGAAGATGATTGAGAAATCTACTCCCAGCCGCATCACCCAAAGGATAGGTTCGTTCCTCAGAGACAGATACGCCTGCGTTGAGCAAGGCAACGCAACAAGCAGGCTTCGCCGTTTCGAGCAGGGAGTCTCCCAGGGCAGCGTCCTGTTCCCCCACACTGTTCCTTGTCTTCATTGATGATATTGAAGCAGGCCTGCCTGAAGCCGTGAAGAAGGGACTCTATGCTGATGACTATACAATATACGCCACCAACGAAGACAATAAATCAGGCTGAAAACAGGGTCCAAGCAGCCATAAACTTACTTGAGCAGTGGGCAAAGCAAAATAAGATGGAGATCAGTACAGAGAAAACAGAGTGCACCCTCTTCACCACCAGCACTCACGAGGCCAAGCGAAAACCAGCACTCTCACTCAAAGGCTCCCCCATCACCTTCAACTCCAACCCCACCTTACTTGGGGTCACACTTGATCGTACTCTATCCTCCAACTTCCACATCCAAAACCTTGAGCTAAAACTGTCAAGCAGACTTCGACCATTGAAAGCCCTTACAGGCACCACCTGGG